CTGCACGCCCTGCCCCAGGCCCCGTGCCCGCTGCCCCGCCCCCGCGCCTGGCCAGCTGTCTGTCCCTGGCAGGTGGTCTGCATTTGCTAGACGTCTGCGCACGTGGAGTCACACAGCAAGCACTCCTTCCGCTCTGGTTCCGCACACTCTGCACCACTGTTCTGCGACGTGTCCATGTGGGCTCGGCTACATCGCTGTTCACTCTGTTTCTCGCCAGAGCAGTGTTCTGTCGCACGGACACACCCCGTTTACACACTGGGCTGCTTCCCGCTTTCAGAGACGCCGCCGGGAGCACCCCTGGGTGAGTCTGTGTGACACACGCTTCCACGTCCCTCGGGAAGCAGAGCGGCAGAACAGCTGGCGTTGGGCAGGCGCGCCTTTAACCTTCAAGAAACCGTCAGACTGTCTTCCAAGGTGACTACGCTACTTACACCCCAGCGGGGCTGGGGCCGGCCTGCCTGCTGGCTCGCCACGCGGCATCTGTCTGCAGGCCTGCTGGGCATCGCTTTGGTGAAGTGGCCGTTCAGACACTCCGCCCGTCCTTTAAACAGTCCTTCCTCCTCGTTGGGTTTTGAGGGTCTTTACATGTCCCGGGTCCAGGTCCTTTATCAGACACATGATTTGTAAACATTTTCTTCCAGTCGGTGACTTCATTTCTCATTCTTTTAACAGTGTTTTTCAACGAAGTAATTTTTAACTCGATGAGATCCAGTTTACCGTTTCTCCCTTTATGGAGAGCGCGTCGGGGCTGCTTCTGGGACACTGCCCACGCGAGGTGCCAGGATCGTTTCCTGCTTCTAGAACTTTCGCACGTCTAGGTCTGTGACATGTTTTGAGTTAGTTTTTGCCTATGGCGCAGAACGTGAAGCGCATTTGGTGGTTGTTACGCTGGGGTCTCCAATTGTCCCGGCACCGTTTGTTGAAAAGACTATTCTTTCCTCCTGACTGACTTGGTGTTGATCAAAAAGCAGTTGTGACAACGAACAAGTGAAATTCAAAGCAATACTGTTTACGTTATTAATACCTCCGAAAATTAAATACTTAGGTATGAATCTAACAAAACATACACAGGACCTATAGAGGGAAACTACAAAGCTGATGAAGGAGTCGAGCAACCAAATAAACGAGAGCTGCCTCGTGTTCACGGACAGGAAGACTCAACACTGTCACGGCGTCAGCTCTTCCCAGCCAGATCTACAGGCTCAGCACAGAAGCCGTCAGAACCCCAGCAAGGTATCTTCCGGATGTCGACAGCTGATCCTGAAGACGCGGCAGAAGGCCCAGAAGAGCCTCCAGCTCCCTGGAGGAGGACAAACAGCTGGAGAACGGGCACGACCGGCTCCATGGCTCACCACGAAGCCGGAGTCTTTGTGACGTTGTGACTTCTCAGAAAGGTGCACTTCATCATTCAGACAACCAAAAATCCACTTCCCCTTGCATACGTTTGGCCTTCTGCTGGGGTTCTTGCCTCACAGCTCTTAGAACTCCTGGAACTTCCTAAGTGAAGGACCCGTGAAGGCGTCTTTTGCTGCCTGAATGAGGCAAATTTCATCAGCCGCCTGCAGGTGGGGTCTGGTTGTCTGTGGAGCCACCGTGTGAGGCCAGAGGCTGGCACTCTCAGCCGCACCCCACCGGCACCAGGGGAGGGGCTGGAGGTGGCGCTCTGACGCCAAAGGCCGGTGATTGTCACCGACGGGGCCTCTGTAATGAGGCTTCCGTGGAAACCCAGAAGTACAGGCCCACAGAGGCCCGCCTGTATGCCCTCAAGGTGGCCCTGAAGCACCTATCTCGAAGTTGATCCTTCACGGAACCCGAGGAACGCACGGGGGTGGGCGCGGCGCACGGCCGGGGCCTTACCGGGCCATCTTGTCACTGCAGGACATGGTGAGCAGCCTCTCCCCCTGCAGCACCCCGTCCCACGTCTGGATGCCCGCGTTCGAGCGGACCGGGATCGTCCCCTCGCCGGACTCTATCTTTGTCCGTAGCTGCCCTCTGGCTTTCCGATTCGGATGTCTGTCTGCTGGTTCTGCAAGAGACACACAGGGTGAGAGACTCCGCCACAGCCGCCGTCGCTCACCTCACTGAGAAGCACATCTAACAACGGCTGCCAGTCACACCCGTGTGCACGCCTACCCTGTGCGCACGGAAGACACGCGTTGCCATCTGAGAACACAAAACTGAACAGGACGATGCAACACACACCAAGGCGGGGAAAGGGGCCCCTCAGGGGCTGGGGAAGGACGGCTTCCATCTCACCCGAACGATCTGTCTATCACTGAAGGTGAGCTGAGCGCACAGGACAAAATGCCAGCCGTTGCTCACTCTGCGCGATGGACGTGCGGGGGTTTGCCGTGTTTCTTCCCCGTACAGTTAAGTTTCCAGCAATACGTCTATGGGGCAGCAGAAGTGGACCCACGGGACGCGTTCACAAACACCCAGAGCCATTATCTCTGGGTTACACGGATACGGGGTGAGTTAAATTTCCCTTCTTATGTTTTAAAAATGTCTAGCAATTCGCTAAGTGGGTATGCGTTGCTTTCATAATCAAGAAAAATAATGAAATCAAATGTTCTTTTTGGAATAAATAATGCTTGCGATTGTGGGAAGGGCTGTGGGTACAAACAGCCATCAGACAAAAGCCCCGACAAGAATGGGAGCAGAGCGGGGCGGAGGGCAGCGTGCTGGCGCCTCCCGGGTCGGCCGCTGCGGAAGGCCAGGCCCGCAGCCGCACACGCTCTCACAGCTCATCAGAGACAGGAGGGGGCTGCTTGCTCCCAGCTCAGAGACCTGCGTCGCCCACGTTTAAACAGTGAAAACAATTTTGGTCCAATATTCTCGAGTCTAGTCTAACTTCCTAATTTATCAGAATCTGCATTCTCGTCATTAACAGTTTCTAACTGAATTGCTGGCAAGAAAAACCTCCTGTTTTTATACATTCTGATCAGATCCACATTCAAGGTGGGCATCTCCACAAAGGGCACTGATGGTGGTCGCTCTGCCCGCACGGTCCTCTGGGGGAGCACCGGCCGCCAGAAGCCGAGCCCACCTTCGAGAAGCGGCTCGTGCGGCGAGAAGATCCGGGCGTCGCCGCAGGGGGAGGTGCTGATGTACAGGTGGAACTGGACGCTGTCCTTCAGCCTGAAGCCTCCGCGCTCCGACCTCTGAAAGATGGATCTTTTTTGATCATCTTTGTTACTGAAAGGAAACAAGTTGCAAAATAAATCTCAAAGCTGTTGACAATGAAAGTTTAGTCTAGCACAGCTCACAGTGACTTTCAGAGGCCAGTGTTAAAACGGGGGATTTCAGCCTGAACTGGGCTCTTTATTTTATATGTTAACAAGCAACATGGCTCCTGTCTGCTGACAGGACGCGCCATCAGCACGCGAGCGACCGTTCCCTCTGCTCGTCCACGGCTGCCGGCCACGAAGACGACACAAAAGAAACGGCTCGTGGGGAAAAGCGGCTCGGGCATGGTCACCAGCACAGAACTGACACCCCCACTGGCAGCTCAGTTCCAGCCACGCTCACGCCGCACAGAACACGAGCACGTGCTCCGAACCCAGAGGCGACACCCGTGACTACGTGACATGCATGCACACGTGCATATGTGCGTGCAGGGGTGTGTGTGAGGGCACGTGTACGTGTGCTGCCTGTGATGCGTGTGTGCGCACACGTACACGCGTGCACACTTGTGTTACGTGTGTGCTGTAATTTAGTCAACCCTGGTCTGTAGCTTGAGCATCGTGAGGAAATCGTTACCTAAAAAGTTACTATTTTGAGACTTTTTCCATGATTACAGAAACGATGAAAAGTTTGCAGTACATTCTGACAGAAGGAAAATGCATCTCTTGAGAAACAGCTTCCTGGACGCATTCACCTGCTACACTTACTTTAAGTAAAGCTCCAGCTGCGTGTAGAGAAACCGAAGCAGGGCCCTCCGCGATATGATCTCCGCGTGGCAGTCGTTCAGCGCCAGGCCCCGGTCGCTCATGTACTCGCCGTTAACACACTTCGTCCCCGTGGAGACACTTATCACCTTGGCATCCTTGACGTCCGTGCCTGGAAACAGGAGAGAAGTCATGCTTCGGGGGCCCGGGCCCGGGCCTCAGGGCAGGACACGCACCTTCGCGGACTGGGGGTGCAGTGCAGGGGCAGACGGCAGCATCCTCACGCAGCCGCTGACCCCTCCCGGCCGCCACGACGGCCTCCCACTGAGCACGTGCTCTGCCATATTTCTGGAAGCTAACCCTCCTGACTCTTTAGTGTAAAGATTCTAAACTTAAGAAAGGAGCCTCCTCGAAACGCAAGTCTTTCCGTGCACAGTCCCCCCGGACTCGGGTGGGGAGCTCCGTGGAGAGGTGGACAGGCTGGCCGTGACTGACCTCGAAACTACCAAAGCACCAAGGGGGCCGGAGGATGGGCCCAGGGTAACTCAGGTGTTGCTCAGGGGCCTCTCACCATTTAGCTGCACTGGGAGGCCCACCAGCACTGGGGGCTTCCGGGAAGCGACCCCCCTGACGGTCAGGGGTCCACAGGCCACACACAGGCCCTGCGGCTACAGGGCGGTGACCGCGCAGCCCGCTGGGCAGGATTTCACTCAGCCCCAGCGTCCTCCCTCTGAGGCCCGTTCCCCTCCTATCTCTGCGCATGAGGGAACCGTGGCATAGGGTGGTCACAGTCCATTCTGGGACTGGAACCAGGCCGCCTGATGCCACGCCAAGTGCTTCAGGTGTAAATCGTGGCTCTGAGCAGATGGTCCCAAGTGAGACACACCCTGCGGTGCATCGTGCCCCCCGACGTGAGGTGCCCCTTCTGAGGCTGTCAAACCCGAATGAAAACAGTCTGCTGGAGGGGAGCAGGGCCTCGCCCGGGAACGACAGTCCTGCCTGTGCAAGCGGTCACCGCGCAGGAGGCAGCGGGCACACGGGAACCCAGGCAGTGGACATCGGAACACAAAAGCGCCCCACCCCGCCCGTGACATGCTCTAGCTGTGCCGGAGCACAGATGGGCAGGGCGAGCACGCGGCGGCCGTGTCCCAGGGCCTCGGGGATGCACTGAACGTCACAGGGCCACTCCTGTCACGGTCAGACAGGTGAGCGCACCTCAGGGAAAGGACAAGGCAGCCACCTACATGGAGAACTGGGCCCCTGGCCAGCGGGTGTAGACAGAGCAGCCACTCCTGGAGCCCGCCCTCTGGCCTCTTGGGCGGCTTCCTGTGCGTGGCCGTCCAGGCTCGGCCAGCGGGGCCGAGTGGATGCTCCAGGAAGAGAGGCCCCGCGTGACGGCCCAGACTCAGCCCCCACGGTGATGGGGGGCCTGCCCGCCCCGGGATCCAGGCACCCGCCACGGCTGTGGGTCCCGTTTGTCGGACCGACCCACGGGGCGCTGCTCAGAGGGCTGGCTCCCGGGAAGTGGGGCGGGGACGCGGGAGGGTTCCTTTGCTGCTGGGATCTTTGGGCAAACATTAACAGGGCTTCTGCCATCCCAAAGCATGTTTTCCCGATTTCTGCTCTTGCTAGAGGGCCCTCCCTTCCCCACCCAAGCCACCCGGGAGCCGATCTGGCAGCGTCAGCATCACTGGCAAACCCGCCATGTCCTACTCTCGAATGAGGCAAGAGCCAAGGGGCCTCCTGCAGTTTTCCGGAGCAGATCAAGACCACTCCCAGAAGATCGCAGGGCTCATATCAACACACAGTGCTTTCTCCAAGTGGGAAAGCTTAGGTTAGAGAGACGAACTTTCAGGAAAACATGTAAGAGCACGCGGCGGGCACTCCGAAGGAGGGCGGACGCACTGCCCGCCGGCGTCCCGGGGCTGTTCCAGGCTGAGGCGATTCCCCTGCTGAGCGTGAGGGCAGGCGGGCAGACGCACCGCCAGCACAGTTACCTGTCGTCATGACGATTCCAGCAAGGACTTTCCTGCGCGCGTGAGGGGAGGAGAAGTTGTCCGTCAGGTCCCCAAACTTATCCAGAACCAGGCGGGCCACGGCGTCGGCTAACACCTGAGGACCAAGCAGGGGGTTAGCGCTCCCTTCAGGGCCAGTTCCCTGGCCTGAAACCGGAAAGCACGCAGGAGCGTCGGGCAAACAAGCACGTGTGTGTGTGTGTTGGGGCGGTGGGGTGTGTAGGAGGGTGTGGGGGTGTGTGGGGGTTGGGTGTGTAGGAGGTGTGGGTCGGTGTGGGGGCGGGTGTGTAGGAGGTGTGGGGGTGTGGGGGTGAGGTG